ACATATATATATATATATATATATATATATATATATATATAAAACATATACGAAAGAATGGTTTTGCTGAAGCATCTAAAACTTTGGCCAGATAGAGATCTGAAAATAATTTTGACTGTCAAATAATTATGCAAGATATGTTTAAACATGATGATTATATCGTAAAAATTATTAATATTTAAGCGATCAATTTGAACATTTTACATAAACATTTTGATAGCCTAATAAAATTATTTTCAAATTTACATCTGGCCAAATTTCTTTATCTTAACAAAATCATTTTTTCCATATAAGTGATTTAAGTGATTTTCTTCATAAATACAAAAATACAAAATAATATTAAATAAATCTGTTATTCTAAGCGTCAAAACAGAATTCACTACATTTACTATTTTTAGAAAAAAAAAATTTTATAAATAGTAAATAATAGACCTAAACAATAAATAGTAAATATTTTATCTCATTAAAGGCTTGAAAAGAAAACCATCAAATCATTTTACCATCTTTTCTTATTGTTAGTGAAGATCATCAAAGTTGACAATGTAATTTTTGAAAGATATTAGCATAATATTATGAAAAACGCGAAATGAATCTGGGTCAACATAAATTAAAGCTAAGCATAATAAACAGAAAGCTGACTTGCAGAAGATTCAAATTGTGAAGGCGGAGTCGAACAGTGTAGACTGTATATAATCGCTGCAGTCGGCGGTTTTGTTTCTTTTCTCACATTTCTTCTCGTCGCTCGTAAAAATATGAAACCCAAAGGCTTAAACTTTTATATGTCTCTGCGCTGTGCCGCTACTCCACGGTAAAATGGTACGAGTATTGTGTATATAAGAATCCGGTCACGAAAGTAATGAGGCCGTACGGTCAGCGGAGAGCCATTGCGCAAAACATACTTTTACAAACTTCTCCTTGTAACTTTTATAATTATAAACTTTTCTCTGTAATTTTTTATTTTTTCTTATTATCGCGGCATCGAAAGAAAAAGAATAAAAGGTAAAATCCTGTTAAAATTATCCTCAAATGAAACTTGGAGACTATCAACACATATTTCATTCTAGTTGTATGCTAATTTATTATTTATGCCATTTTATATTCATTGATACTAAAAAAATATGTTATTTTTTTATTTTATTTTACTCTAAGAACTTTTGTCTATTTTGACATCAAGTCTGAATATTCACAAGGCGCAACGACAAATTTTTTTCCTGTACCGAAGGAATAATTTTGCTGTAAGATCTAAAAATTTAACACAGATCTGAAAATTAATTTTTTTGAATCATCAAAATTATTACATAGAACATTTAAATATGATGAAATATGAATATGATAAAAATATTGTAAAATCTTTTATATTCTAGCAACTAATTTGAACGTTCTATATAATTATTTTGATGGTATTAAAGTACGTATCAAAATTATTTTTCAGATTTATATCCAGCAAAATTCTATTCCTTCCGTGTAAATATAGCGACAAAGAATAATACTGCATCTAGTGCGTGACACCCTCTGAAGAACAACATATGCATCGGTTGTACCGAGGGTAGGCGCAGAAGTGGCTATTATTCCCAGCGATTAGGTATATAAACGCGGATTTAGGGCAGACGAAGGGATTTTAACTAAACTAAACACTTGACAGGTTGCGTGCACTATAGAAACATTTATATCACGTGGCGTGCTATTTACTTATCATTAAGATGCGGATTATGAAGATTTATGGGAATGTAGCGCAAACCGCGACGATCTCATAGATAAATCTAGATAAAATCAAATTTGTTCCATTTGGAAATAATTCAATAATCGCGACTACATCAGAAAAATAAAAAAAATTTGTCAAAACAAAATGAAGAAATGGAGATCGCTGCGTACAAACTAATACTTGTGCTTAATTATGATTGCGTGATCTTGGCTAGTTTGGTAAAAATAATTGTTTAATTATATTCGTTTGCAAAATGTACGAATTTTAAAATGTACGTAAGTTCTATTTCAGAATCGATCGATGAAGATGTGAGAAAAAAATCCCAAAAGAAGAAATCCCAAAAATTTCCGGAGGAAATAATGGAAAAATTTCGAGGACACAGTTCCGATGACGGATTATCGTAGGGCGAAGATCGCGTTGGTCGGAAGGCGATCCTTGGCGCTGCTAGTGGCGGTAAATCTGATATGTAGCTGAGTAAAGGAAAGGCAATGCGTTGAGAGTTCGGGTAGACCCATCGCGCACTCCCATACAACGCACGGCACGCGCACACACACACACACACACACACACACACACAACAACGTACGCAGGTGT